CCTCTCCTCCCCCTCTCTCTCCCCTCTGCCCGCCTCCTCCCCTCTCCTCCGCCTCTCTCTCCCCTCTCCTCCCGCCTCTCTCTCCCCCTCTCCTCCCTCCTCTCTCTCCCCTCTGCCCGCCTCTCTCTCCCCTCTCCCCGCCTCTCTCTCCCCCTCTGCCCGCCTCTCTCTCCCTCCCCTCTCCTCCCGCCTCTCTCTCCCCTCTCCCCCGCCTCTCTCTCCCCTCTCCTCCCGCCTCTCTCTCCCCTCTCCTCCCGCCTCTCTCTCCCCTCTGCCCGCCTCTCTCTCCCCTCTCCCCCGCCTCTCTCTCCCCTCTCCTCCCGCCTCTCTCTCCCCTCTCCTCCCGCCTCTCTCTCCCCTCTGCCCGCCTCTCTCTCTCCTCTCTCTCCTCCCGCCTCTCTCTCCCCTCTCCTCCCGCCTCTCTCTCCCCTCTGCCCCGCTCTCTCTCCCCTCTCCCCCGCCTCTCTCTCCCCTCTGCCCGCCTCTCTCTCCCCTCTGCCCGCCTCTCTCTCCCCTCTCCCCCTCTCTCTCCCCTCTGCCCGCCGCTCTCTCTCCCCTCTCCCCGCCTCTCTCTCCCCCTGCCCGCCTCTCTCTCCCCTCCCTGCCCGCCTCTCTCTCCCCTCTCCCCGCCTCTCTCTCCCCCCCTCTGCCCGCCTCTCTCTCCCCTCTGCCCGCCTGGCGCTGCCGAGCTCTCGATCTGAGCCAGACTCATCGTCAGCTTCTTCTTATATTAAATAAATTACGTTTACTTCACAGCATAATTGTTGTTACTCACTTATTAAGAACGTTACTACTCGTACAAATAATATAACTAACAACATTAAGGACAATAAAACATGACTTCTCTCCATGACAGAGACAGACCCACATGAAGCCCGCGTCAAAGCTTCAAAAGCTCAGGTTTTCTTTACTTCGGTGTCAAAGGGATTGTTTTGATACACGAGCGTTACGTGCGTCAAAAGCTTCAGGTGAGCACGTATTACTCGCGACTTTTGAAGCTTTTGACGCTCGCCAAGTGACGCCAGGGCTTTCGGCTTCACCTGACGCGCTTCACCTTCACTTTCAATGCAAACCTGACACTTTTGAAGTCGAAGTGAAGTCCGGTCTGAACCCTAACCCTTTAGTGTGATCGCAAAGTCCACAGCTCATCTCTTTATTCACAAGCTTCCAGTGACATATTTAACTTTGAATTTCTGCTTAATACAGTCAGTTCTGGGCAATAAACCGCAGCTTTTTTCCTGCATTTTGCTTGATTTAAAAAAAAATCTCTGTTGCGCCAAATACATTTTGCCAAGTAACAGTCGACCCACAGAATTGATGAGTAGTTCACAAAGGTCCGATTAAAATGTAAGATTTGTCAGTCAGTCATTTGTACTCTTTTCATATTTGTGTAAATATCTCATTTAAGAAATAGTTTTGTCTATTTCTATCTACCAATAGAAAATGGTTGTCTGTATAAGAAGTCAGTGACTCTCATTGTCTCATATGTGAAAGGTGCGGCTTATAATCCAGTGCGGCTTGTACAAGTACGAAAAATTAGAACCTGCAGCTTACGATCAGGTGCGGCTTGTAGTCTGTAAAAGTATTTGTATGCAATTGTTTTGCTTTTGTACATTGATGTTGTGGATTTTGTGTTATTTTGTACTTTTGTGTTTTTTTGTACTTCAACGAGATTTACGAGCAAGATTTTTGAGCTGTAAAAGTAATTTTGAAATCCGAATATCTCTGAACTACTGTTGTCAGTTAACGAAGTATTGGAAAAGAGCATGTTTTTATCAATAACTTTTGACAGATTAGGGCCTTTGATGTCTTGACATGAAAATCTTACATACTGCTCCTTTAATAGAGCTTTTTGCACACAGGAAGTGGACAAAGTGCCTACAGTAACATCAAGGCACATCAAATAATAATCCACAAATCACAAAGACATATTTACAAAAGAAATTGCCGCTGCATTGAACGGGATCGCCCTTAAAAACCAGATTTGACAGAGGATGTACCTGGTGTGGATGACTCTAACACATTTCTGCAAAGACAAAGTGAATAAAACTTGTAAACCAATAAAATACTTTTCACCGCTGCAGCCGTCATACTAATACTTACTAATACTCTCACTCTCTCTGTCTCTGTCTCTGTCTCTCTCTCTCTCTCTCTCTCTCTCTGTCTCTGTCTCTGTCTCTGTCTCTGTCTCTCTCTCTCTCTCTCTCTCTCTCTCTCTCTCTCTGTCTCTGTCTCTGTCTCTGTCTCTCTCTGTCTCTCTCTCTCTCTCTCTCTGTCTCTGTCTCTCTCTCTCTCTCTCTCTCTCTCTCTCTCTCTCTCTCTCTCTCTCTCTCTCTCTCTCTCTCTCTCTCTCTCTCTCTCTCTCTCTCTCGAGGCTTTTCTAATCTCTGGCTGCTCACCTCGACAACTTTATACTTTTCTCCTCGCTGTCAGGGCTTGTGAAATCGCCTCAGTTCCAGCTCGATATAATTCTCCCTTTGTTCCCGGAGTTCTGAATAGCAGTAGTAGCATATTGGCAGAGTGTGTGGTCCGTGTGGAGGAGGAGAGAGGCTTCACTTCTGCTTTTTTGGGGTTCCCCTGCAGAGAAAGGCAGAGGTTAAGCCCACGGGGGTCTGTAGAGAGAGAGAGATGGCCCCCCGCTGAATGAGATGGTAATGCCCCAAAACATGATTCATCGTTCAGGCATCTCTGGCTCTGGTCCCCCTCAACCCCCGACATCCTCCAACACCTCCTCTTCTTCCTCCTCCTTCTACTCCTCCTCCTCCACAGAGACACTGGGGATACAACATGGGGAGATAATGTGTTTGGTTTTGTTGTATTTTTATCAAAGTTAGAGCAGTGAAAGGTCCATGAGCACGTGGCATGACATGTTTGCAGTCTCACTCCGGGCTGGTGGGGGTGTACCCGGAAAGAGAATTACCCAATGCTTTTGTACGGCGTCTTCTTTCCTCTCTAAAACCTCTTTACAGGATGGTCCAAAAGTCGCTCTTGGCCCAAAGCTACGTTCAGATGCTGTCAATGCTGAGGGAAGGATATTTTTTTTGGGGACCAGTCTAGTTTAGCTGCTGTGGACTTCAGAATGCGCAAAGGATATTTATCACATTTTCCTGCCTTGTGGCCATTGAAATAGCCCCATAGAAAGCAAAAGTGGTGGCATATAAGTTTCAACGCCACTAATATTTGCCGTGTCACTAATATATACTGTATGGGTTAGACACGTGACGTTTTTCCTCTGATGGTAGATAAAAGTTTTCTTACAGGCTAAGAACTTAAACACTTTTGAGGACTGAGAGTACAGCAGTGTGTGGGCAGCTTGTACAGATATTTTGGTCCAATCATTAAAACAAAACTTAACTTTTCTCAATCCCAGAGTCCAAGACACACTAGGCATTCAAGACCTGTCAAGTAGTGCATGGGCCGAATGTTTATCTGTTTTAATACTTGGCTGATGGATTTTTTTGGCATTAGTTTCATCAGATAAGTTGCGTCGGTCGAGGTGTGCTGTGTCTGTACTGTCCTCGTTTTATGTAATTGACTTGTCCGTGTATTATTTTAAATAAAGAAGCTAGTATAAAATTGTTAGCTTTAGCATGATTTTATACTAAATCGCGCAGCATCGAAACTTTCTAACTACGTAAGGGTCGCCGCAAGGAAGCTCCGCTGTGATTGGTCCGTGTGTGTGTATTGGAAAGAAGCATGAAGCGGCTGCAGCAGGAGCATGGAGGAGGCACTATGGAGCAGAGAGCTTTGTGCTTCGAAGGAAAAGCAGTTTGGGCTCAGAGCCTGATATACAGGAGACTGTGGACTATCTAACATATATATAACTTATATCTAACATATATATAACTTATATCTAACATATTTATAACTTATATCTAACATATATATAACTTATATCTAACATATATATAACTTATAAACTGTGCAGTCGTTTGTTTTGCACTGTTCCTGTCTTTGTTTGAATCGTAGCTGCGTTTGTTGCTTTCCTCCTACACTCGTAAATCGTTCATGTTTGTCTCAGATATTTACCACTATTATTGTTTTGCTGTTTGTGCTGAAAACTATTTAATAATAACTATGTTTCCAACAAGAACTGTGTCTTTATTCACAGCATCACAGTTGAAATGACTTATAAAATAATGAATCCATAAAACTATCACATAAACCTACAGTAGAAACACGTGTAATGATCTCAAACAGCTTTGTTTGCTATTGTTGTTCTGAAGAGGACAAAGTAGCAGCGTAAATGGGACCGCTCCTGTGTGATCGCCCTCATGTGGTTTGTTGTGAGATTACAACATTCTCCTCAAAACTCCGTAAGGGGAACGCGCCAGTATAACATCAATTGTGCTTACGTAGGTCCACCGCAACCGCTAACGTAAGCCAAGCCGCGCAAGTATACACTAGGCTTAAGAAGCTATTATAAAATCTCTAGCTTTAGCATAATAAAGAAGCTAGTATAAAATCTAGCTTTAGCATAATAAAGAAGGTAGTATAAAATCTAGCTTTAGCATAATAAAGAAGCAAGTATAAAATCTAGCTTTAGCATAATAAAGAAGCTAGTATAAAATCTAGCTTTAGCATAATAAAGAAGCTAGTATAAAATCTCTAGCTTTAGCATAATAAAGAAGCTAGTATAAAATCTAGCTTTAGCATAATAAAGAAGCAAGTATAAAATCTAGCTTTAGCATAATAAAGAAGCTAGTATAAAATCTAGCTTTAGCATAATAAAGAAGCTAGTATAAAATCTCTAGCTTTAGCATAATAAAGAAGCTACTATAAAATAAAGTACTTTATATGAATGTGGAAGAAGTAGTGATGGAAACAATCTGGTTTGAGAGCGAGGAACAAGTCAGATATATTTTATCACACACTGCAGCTGGATTTTCTGTGGATTGAAACTTTCAACTCGTGTTTTTCTATCTTTATGCTCTTTTTTTCCGCTACGGTTCAAAGCCTTGAAATCTCGGGCTGCAGCGCACATACACCATGTACTTAAAATGCCATTTAAAAGTGCCACTCTCTGGTCTCCTGCAGGTAATAGTGGTTCAAATAGAAGCATTTTGGAAGCGGCGCGGCTCTCACACAGCGCAGAGCACTCACAAAAGGCCAAACCAATCAGAAAGCTCTCCACATGGAACAGTGCGTCTCTGCGGCAGCATCAGGCCGACCACAGCACCGGCCTCAGCACCGGCCTCAGCACCGGCCTCAGCACCGACCACAGCACCGGCCTCAGCACCGGCCTCAGCCTCGGCCTCAGCACCGGCCTCAGCACCGGCCTCAGCACCGGCCTCAGCACCGGCCTCAGCACCGGCCTCAGCGTCGGCCTCAGCGTCGGCCTCGGCGTCGGCCTCGGCACCGGCCTCGGCACCGGCCTCGGCACCGGCCTCGGCGCCGGCCTCGGCGCCGGCCTCGGCGCCGGCCTCGGCACCGGCCTCAGCACCGGCCTCAGCACCGGCCTCAGCCTCAGCACCGGCCTCAGCACCGGCCTCAGCACCGGCCTCAGCACCAGCCTCAGCACCGGCCTCAGCCCCGGCCTCAGCACCAGCCTCAGCACCGGCCTCAGCCTCAGCCTCAGCACCAGCCTCAGCACCGGCCTCAGCACCGGCCTCAGCACCAGCCTCAGCACCGGCCTCAGCACCAGCCTCAGCCTCAGCCTCAGCACCAGCCTCAGCCTCAGCCTCAGCACCAGCCTCAGCACCAGCCTCAGCACCGGCCTCAGCCTCAGCCTCAGCACCGGCCTCAGCCCCGGCCTCAGCACCAGCCTCAGCACCGGCCTCAGCACCGGCCTCAGCACCGGCCTCAGCACCGGCCTCAGCCCCGGCCTCAGCACCAGCCTCAGCACCGGCCTCAGCACCGGCCTCAGCCTCAGCCTCAGCACCAGCCTCAGCACCGGCCTCAGCCCCGGCCTCAGCACCAGCCTCAGCACCAGCCTCAGCACCGGCCTCAGCCTCAGCCTCAGCACCAGCCTCAGCACCGGCCTCAGCACCGGCCTCAGCCTCAGCCTCAGCACCAGCCTCAGCTTCAGCCTCAGCACCGGCCTCGGCACCGGCCTCAGCCTCAGCACCGGCCTCAGCACCGGCCTCAGCACCGGCCTCAGCACCGGCCTCAGCACCGGCCTCAGCACCGGCCTCAGCCTCAGCCTCAGCACCAGCCTCAGCACCGGCCTCAGCACCGGCCTCAGCCTCAGCCTCAGCACCAGCCTCAGCACCGGCCTCAGCACCGGCCTCAGCACCGGCCTCAGCACCGGCCTCAGCACCGGCCTCAGCACCGGCCTCAGCACCGGCCTCAGCACCGGCCTCAGCACCGGCCTCAGCACCGGCCTCAGCACCGGCCTCCACTGACCCTCTCTGCAAAGTGACTTCTATAGACAGATGTTGGAGGATTTACAAAGAACTTCACAAAGAATTCTCCACTGATTTTAGTTTCATTCATAGCCCGTGATACGACAGAGCAACGTCAGCTGCATTTGCATTTGAAATATTACAGTAATTCAATGTATTCAATGTATTTTTGTGTAGCCCTAAATATTAGACCAATGGCTCCATGCGTCTTTTTGCATTTCCGGTGTTTGAACTGTTTCTCTGATCTGTGTTGGTCTCTCTCACTAGTCTCTCTCTAGTGTCTCTATGGTCTCTCTCTTCTCTCTCTGGTCCCTATCTAGTCTCTCTCTCTGGTCTCTCTCTGGTCTCTCTCTAGTCTATCTCTGGTCCCTCTCTCTAGTCTGTCTCAAGCCTCTCTCTGGTCTGTCTCTGGTCTCTCTCTCTGGTCTCTCTCTCCAGTCTCTCTCCGGTCTCTCTCCGGTCTCTCTCTGGTCTCTCTCTGGTCTCTCTCTGGTCTCTCTCTGGTCTCTCTCTGGTCTCTCTCTCCGGTCTCTCTCTCCAGTCTCTCTCCGGTCTCTCTCCGGTCTCTCTCCGGTCTCTCTCCGGTCTCTCTCCGGTCTCTCTCCGGTCTCTCTCCGGTCTCTCTCCGGTCTCTCTCCGGTCTCTCTCCGGTCTCTCTCCGGTCTCTCTCTGGTCTCTCTCTGGTCTCTCTCTGGTCTCTCTCTGGTCTCTCTCTGGTCTCTCTCTGGTCTCTCTCTGGTCTCTCTCCGGTCTCTCTCTCCGGTCTCTCTCTCCGGTCTCTCTCCGGTCTCTCTCCGGTCTCTCTCCGGTCTCTCTCCGGTCTCTCTCCGGTCTCTCTCCGGTCTCTCTCTCCGGTCTCTCTCCGGTCTCTCTCCGGTCTCTCTCCGGTCTCTCTCCGGTCTCTCTCCGGTCTCTCTCCGGTCTCTCTCTGGTCTCTCTCTGGTCTCTCTCTGGTCTCTCTCTGGTCTGTCTCTGGTCTCTCTCTGGTCTCTCTCTGGTCTCTCTCTGGTCTCTCTCCGGTCTCTCTCTGGTCTCTCTCTCTGGTCTCTCTCCAGTCTCTCTCCAGTCTATCTCTAGTCTCTCTCTGGTCTCTCTCTGGTCTCTCTCTGGTCTCTCTCTGGTCTCTCTCTGGTCTCTCTCTGGTCTCTCTCTGGTCTCTCTCTGGTCTCTCTCTGATCTCTCTCTGGTCTCTCTCTGGTCTCTCTCTGGTCTCTCTCTGGTCTCTCTCTGGTCTCTCTCTGGTCTCTCTCTGGTCTCTCTCTGGTCTCTCTCTGGTCTCTCTCTGGTCTCTCTCTGGTCTCTCTCTGGTCTCTCTCTGGTCTCTCTCGTCTCTCTCTTGTCTCTCTCTTGTCTCTCTCTCTGTGGCTATACAAGATTACATTGAATTGACGTAAACAGTTCAGCGCCTACTGCTCTCGACCCTGAAGTATTGGGCGTGGCCTTAAATCAGAATCAGAATCAGAATCAGAAATACATGATGTGAGACTGACACCTTTTGATTTTATATGTTAAAGAAAAGCAGCTCTGTAATCTGTAATCTGTAATCCATAATCTCTCTGTAAATTCGTATCCACCTGAAGCTGCATATGTACAACCTCTCTCTGGTCCTCACAAAGGAGAGCTATCAGAGCGGTATGTTACGGTCAGGTTTGAACAGGCTGAGTGGAGGAGATATGTGTTGTTATGGTCCACACACACACACACACACACACACACAAACACACGCACACACAAACACACGCACACAAACACAGATACGTGGAGGTAATGGGGCTGTTTACATTCCTCCTGTGTGACGGTTTATCCACACTGGGCTCTATCTGATGGAAGACGCCGGAAATATTCACACGGAGCAAAGAAGAATTCCATGCACGGCGGGGATTCGTGGGAGATGTTGGGGCGGATTTCAGAAACGCAATCCAGGCTCGGTTTCCAGGTTTCTACACACGCTTTTACCCTGACGTTTTTCTCTGAATACAAAAATCATTGGGAAATTTGTTGATAAAACGTTAAAATGGCCGACGTCTATCTATAATGCAAGGAGCGTCTGTCTGTGTGTGTGTGTGTGTGTGTGTTTCAAGACTACGGTAATAAGATAATACAAGATAATATTAAGACATCATACTTATATTGAGCCCTGGTCTGAGTGGTCTCTCTCTCTCTAGTCTCTCTCTGTGGTCTCTCTCTGTGGTCTCTCTCTGGTCTCTCTCTCTGTGGTCTCTCTCTGTGGTCTCTCTCTCTAGTCTCTCTCTGTGGTCTCTCTCTCTAGTCTCTCTCTGCGGTCTCTCTCTGGTCTCTCTCTGTGGTCTCTCTCTGTGGTCTCTCTCTCTAGTCTCTCTCTAGTCTCTCTCTGTGGTCTCTCTCTCTAGTCTCTCTCTGTGGTCTCTCTCTGGTCTCTCGCTCTGGTCTCTCTCTGGTCTCTCTCTGTGGTCTCTCTCTGTGCGCTCTCTCTGTGGTCTCTCTGGTCTCTCTCTCTCTGTGGTCTCTCTCTGGTCTCTCGCTCTGGTCTCTCTGGTCTCTCTCTGGTCTCTCTCTGTGGTCTCTCTCTGTGGTTTCTCTGGTCTCTCTCTCTGTGGTCTCTCTCTGTGGTCTCTCTCTGTGGTCTCTTTCTGTCTGGTATCTCTCTGGCCTCTCTCTCTAGTCTCTCTCTCTGGTCTCTCTCTCTGGTCGCTCTCTCTGTGGTCTCTCTCTGTGGTCTCTCTCTGGTCTCTCTCTCTGGTCGCTCTCTCTGTGGTCTCTCTCTGGTCGCTCTCTCTGTGGTCTCTCTCTAGTCTCTCTCTGTGGTCTCTCTCTCTGTGGTCTCTCTCTCTGTGGTCTCTCTCTCTGTGGTCTCTCTCTCCAAGACTCCTAGTATTCTCAGTTCTTCACTTTGTCCGAAACTCGGCCCCATGTATTGTATTGTTCTTTCCGGATCCGAAAAAAAAAAAAAGCCAGAGTTAGATCCAGTATTTGTGCAAACTGCTAACCGCTAACCGCTAACCTTACAGAGGTGATGCAATCCTCCCAGAGACCGAGTGGATCTGCAGAACAAAATATGCACCGACCACAAGCGGGAGGACGATCAATATTCCATCTCCCGTTAGCGGCTACGGCTACAGCTACGGCGCGAAGAGAGAGACAGAGGCGGGCAAATACTGCAGACCTGAGATTCCTGGTATTACCATGGGGAGCACAATGGAAGAAAGCCCAGAGAAAGAGCGTTTTCAAAGACTCGAATACAAAAGTGCACGGGTGGAATATCAAACTTCTATTCTTGTTTGTGGAAGATGAAAAAAATAAATAAAAAAATCACCAAAGTTAAGGAGAGATTCAGAGGTTTTTGAGTTTGCCTTCAGCGGTTTTGGAACGGTTTACAGCAGTGGTTCTCAACTGGGGGTACGTGGACGGATTTAAAGGAGGCATTCGAAAGTGTTTTACAGAATAACAGAATAATAAGGGTTTTATGGGCGATTGTGGTTTATACAGGATTTGAATGGTTTGCTGTGTATAGGAAGAACTACGAGAGTTTGGAGAGACCAGAGCGAGAGAACAGAGAGAGAGAGACTAGAGAGGGACCAGAGAGAGAAAAGAGAGAGGGACCACAGAGAGACCTAAGAGAGAGACCAGAGAGAGAGATCAGAGTGAGCAGAGAGAGACCAGAGCGAGACCGGAGAGAGAGACCAGAGAGAGACCAAGAGAGAACAGAGAGAGACCAGAGAGAGAGATCAGAGAGGGACCAGAGAGAGAGATCAGAGAGGGACCAGAGAGAGAAAAGAGAGAGAGACCACAGAGAGACCTAAGAGAGAGACCAGAGAGAGAGATCAGAGTGAGCAGAGAGAGACCAGAGCGAGACCGGAGAGAGAGACCAGAGAGAGACCAAGAGAGAACAGAGAGAGACCAGAGAGAGAGATCAGAGAGGGACCAGAGAGAGAAAAGAGAGAGAGACCACAGAGAGACCTAAGAGAGAGACCAGAGAGAGAGATCAGAGAGAGCAGAGAGACCAGAGCGAGACCGGAGAGAGAGACCAGAGAGAGGGATCAGAGAGAGACACCCGCCTCTCACCCTCTCTCTCGGTATAATTTTGTGATTCAATGTGTCCAACACCAAACAGAGAAACTTCAGCTTCAGCAGCTTCAAAGTCGATGCAAAACAAGGCCATCAATATTTATTCAAACTTCAAAAGTTGAATAAATATAAACTTCACGCCTGTGTTTGTCCTGAACTCAAGAAATACAGCGACAGAAGAAACCGTCATCCTTTGGTCTCTGATTTATTTCAACATTAAAGATGAGAATACATTTCAAACCACAAGAAACTTTCATAAGTATCTATTATTTATTTATTATATTTGGCTTTACTAAGGACTCATAAACAGACACAGGATCAATACACTGCAAAAAATTATAATTTATGAGGTAATAAAAGCTTGAAATTCTTATCCATGCATTAGTGACATGTTAGTACCATATGAACCAGCCCGGACTCTGAGGAGCACAGGGACTGGACTCCTGTTAGTGCCCAGAGTCAGAACTAAACATGGGGAGGCTGCTTTTCAGATTCATGCTGCTAAAATCTGGAACAGTCTTCCTGAAGATGTGAGACAGGCCTCCTCTCTGACAATGTTTAAAACCAGGTTAAAGACAGTTCTGTTTAGCTGTGCATACAACTGAGGGATTTTATATTTTTATCTTTCTTTTTAATGTTCTGTGATTATTTATGATTTTAATGCTTTCTTTATTTCATTTTTTTATAATTGTGCTATACAAATAAACTTTTTTTTTTTTTTATCTTAAACTGAATTAATTTTACATAAAACAAGATTCTCCAATGGGACAAAGCCATTTAGTCTCATTTCAAGAACTGTATTTTGATTTATTTTCTCATTCAAGGGAGACATTTCTTCTTTCATTCTGAAACGAGATCATTTTGCTTTGTCCCATTGACAAATCTTGTTTAAGACTCAGTCAGAATGTGCTCAAATCAAGATACGGTACATTTAGGCAAATTTGACTTCTTTTTCAGCACTTTCAGCAGTGTAGCTAAAACGATTTTCTTTTAAAGTGTTTCCCTCAAGTGGATAAATCGAGTTTGAGATCCCTGGTTTTAAGAGAGAGGAACTAGTTAGATGCATTTTATCACACGAGTTAGCTTTTATAATAATTTTCAGGAAACCTCAAAGTGCTACAAGATAAAATACAGTGCAACAAACAAACAAATAAAAACATCAGAAGTTTATAAAATATCAAAAACATGAAGGGGTTAAAAGCACATCAAATCCCTAATACTCCTGATTTTCATAACGACAGAAAAGATACAAAAGTGGAAGGATTTGTCGGGGTTGAAACACTTTTGACGTCTTAAGCACTTTCCTTTTCACCATTTCCTTTCTGTAGATCTGGGCTTTCTATGGGACAGTGGGACATCGTGGGTGGAGAACAAACCGAACCCTCGCAGCCCACAGAACGCACACACACACACACACACACACACAAACACACACACACACACACACACACATGCACACACACACACACACACACACACACTGAGAGGGTGAGTGGGCAGCGTGGTCCCGTAGAGAGGACAGCAGCAGAACAGTCTTCCTCACACAGATCCAGGTGAGATCTGAGGGGAACGACAAAGACCGGCTATTTGTGGAGATGGAAGAGAAGAGGAGTCTTTCTTACAGCGGTACAGTACATTATAGAACAGTAAAGCACAGCACAGTTCAGTACAGTACAGTACAGTGCAGTACAGTACAGTACAGTGTGTGAGAATATGTGAATATCAACGAGTACAGCACAGAAAGAGACACAGATCTGGGTCTGACTCGTCCACATTGCATTGGATTCAAACAGTGCTTTTCACACCGATGGTAAATGTGATATGGAGAGTCTGCTGTTTCCATGTATAGGAATAAGTAAAGCTGTATCTATGATTATAGCACCGAGATATGGATATAGATAGATACTTTATTGATCCCTGTAGGAGAAATACAGCCGCAGCCGCCCCACTGTGGCACCTGGGGTTCCCAGAGGTCTCCCATCTCAGTACAAACCAAGCGCTGTCCTGCTTAGCTTCAGAGGTCTGACGGGATCTAGCTTCCACCTGTAGGTCAAGACCATAGACCGTACATATTAACGAATGTAGTCACGCCTATCTCCGCCGTTCTAACTAATGGGCCAAAAATTGGGCTTTCATGGAGTGATTCAAAATGGCCGCGGGGGCTGGAAAATGTGAAAAAACCCATCTGCGCATGCGTCAGCTGCACGAGCCCCATTCATTTAAACGAGAGACTTCAAAAATTCACAGCGAGTAAACTAGACTGGTCCAAAAAAATCCACCCCCCTCAGCATTGACACACATGTGGAACCATGGGCCAAGAGCCGACTTTAGGTCCATCCTGTAAAGACGTTTTCGAGAGGTCAGTTAATGCTATATGTTAGCATTGGCTAATTTTTATTCCGGGTCCACCCCCATCGGCGCGGGGTGGTATTGCAGCATGTCGGCGCACGTCATTTTGGCCACTTTTGAGCCGGGACCCGCCCCCACTGGTCAAGACACTTTCCCCTGTGAAGTCCCATGCGCTACTGGGCACAAGCCACTCGTTTCACCGGGGAGTGATTAGCAATGGCATTAGCACCAATGTAAAAATCTTTAAAACTATACATTTTACTTTTTTTCTTTCTCTCCCTCTGGTCTTTCTCTGCTCTCACTTTGCTCTCTATCACACAAAAGTACTTAGGATACTTGCTAATGGAACTGCACGAGCAAAATGTTCGAGTGGTCAATAGAAAGTGGTCTAACTATTTGCACATTCTGACTGCCTTAAATCACGATTTGCCGATGGGACAAAGCAAAACGATCTTGTTTAGAAAGACTACTAAATACTGTAAGACTGAATGACTTTGTCCCATTCAAATTTGGCAATCTACATTTTACCAAATTTGAGATCACTTTTTGCTTTGCATTACTGTGTTTTAGACGATGGGGGCAGTAGTCTAAATCATGGTATGTCTTCTTGAACAAAATGAGTCAGCTGTAGCAGAGCTGTACCCTCTCTTCATCTTCATCAGTTGCTCTGACTCTTCCTCCGTCTCCTCTGGCTGTGTTCGTCAGTGTTGTGGATGTGTTGGTGTTTACCGTAGAACACAGACACATCCCTCTTCGCTCAGACGGAAAAGCTCCAGGGACAGAGCCAAAAACCTGCCTCCAAAACTACAACACGACACCAGCCGCGAGAGAAGAAAGAGAGAGAAGTGTTTCCCTGCGGAGTTTGAGGAGTCTGAAGTGAAGAGGGGCCTGCTGCAGTAACGAGTGAGAGACAGTGGACACTCACCGGGAACAGGATTCTGCAAACTCGGGTTTTGTCACGTTTCTTGTTGGTTTTTTGGTTTTGAGGGTTTCCTGTTTACTGTGTATGTTCTAGGAAAGAATTCAAGAAGCAGCTGCTCTGGTCTCTCTCTGCTCTCTCACTGGTCTCTTACTGGTCTCTTACTGGTCTCTCACTGGTCGCTCACTGGTCGCTCACTGGTCGCTCACTGGTCTCTCTCTCCCTCTCTAGTCTCTCTCTGGTCTCCATGGTCTCTCTCTGGTCTCTCACTGGTCTCTCTCTAGTCTCTCACTGGTCTCTCTCTAGTCTCTCTCTAGTCTCTCTCTAGTCTCTCTCTGGTCTCCATGGTCTCTCTCTGGTCTCTCTCTAGTCTCTCTCTAGTCTCTCTCTAGTCTCTCTCTAGTCTCTCTCTAGTCTCTCTCTAGTCTCTCTCTAGTCTCTCTGGTCTCCATGGTCTCTCTCTAGTCTCTCTCTAGTCTCTCTCTAGTCTCTCTGGTCTCCATGGTCTCTCTCTGCTCTCTCTCTAGTCCCTCTCTAGTCTCTCTCTAGTCTCTCTCTAGTCTCTCTCTAGTCTCTCTCTAGTCTCTCTCTAGTCTCTCTCTAGTCTCTCTCTAGTCTCTCTCTAGTCCCTCTCTAGTCTCTCTCTAGTCTCTCTCTAGTCTCTCTCTAGTCTCTCTCTAGTCTCTCTCTAGTCTCTCTCTAGTCTCTCTCTAGTCTCTCTCTAGTCTCTCACTGGTCTCTCTCTAGTCTCTCTCTAGTCTCTCTCTAGTCTCTCTCTAGTCTCTCTCTAGTCTCTCTCTAGTCTCTCTCTAGTCTCTCTCTAGTCTCTCTCTAGTCTCTCTGGTCTCCATGGTCTCTCTCTGCTCTCTCTCTAGTCCCTCTCTAGTCTCTCTCTAGTCTCTCTCTAGTCTCTCTCTAGTCTCTCTCTAGTCTCTCTCTAGTCTCTCTCTAGTCTCTCTCTAGTCTCTCTCTAGTCTCTCTCTAGTCTCTCTCTAGTCTCTCTCTAGTCTCTCTGGTCTCTCTCTGGTCTCTCTCTGGTCTCTCTGGTCTCTCTGGTCTCTCTCTGGTCTCTCTCTGGTCTCTCTCTGGTCTCTCTCTGGTCTCTCTCTGGTCTCTCTCTGGTCTCTCTCTGGTCTCTCTCTGGTCTCTCTCTGGTCTCTCTCTGGTCTCTCTCTGGTCTCTCTCTGGTCTCTCTCTGGTCTCTCTCTGGTCTCTCTCTGGTCTCTCTCTGGTCTCTCTCTGGTCTCTCTCTGGTCTCTCTCTGGTCTCTCTCTGGTCTCTCTCTGGTCTCTCTCTGGTCTCTCCCTCTACTCTCTCTGGTCTCTCCCTCTACTCTCTCCCTCTCTGCTCTCTCTCACCTACAGGCATCACTGCTAAATCATCCATATTCCTCAGATTAAAGAGACCAATCCATAAAAGTAAAGATAATGGCGCCTGTTCTAGTGAGAATGGGGAATATTCTGAGCGATATTGTGTCATATACACAAGAATACGCTTCGCTTTAATATCATCATAACACTAATAGAAGAAATTAAAGCATAGTTTAAAGCTTTCAGAGCTAGATTTCGCATAAGAGCAAAGAGAGAGAGAAAGCCCATCACAATGACCAATGGCAACAAAGCGCCTTCCATTTCCGAACATGCACAGAAAATGCACATATTGTTTCAGAGAGTTTCTCCTTGTGGTTTCTCCTTGTCTAGTTTTCATGAGGCACTAATACAAATTACCGCCTTAAAAAAACCTTTCTGCAGTGGATCGACAAACTAACGCCCGTCCTTGGACTTCCCGATGCCCACCAAGTTGTATTTTCTTTCCCTCTTCTCACCTTGCACTGGATCACTGCACATTTCTATACCTGCCTCAACAAATGACCAGAGGGACACCCACCGAAACACCATAAAGCCCAGGTCAGAGTCCATTTAGGTCCATACAAACACAAGGAGGACCTCCAGATCCTATCTCAGAGCTGCCTTTATTCACGCCGATACCATTAGCGCCCAAAGTAACCAATCCTGCGGTCACTGCTAGTGTCAGCTTTCTCTTTGATGGGAGGTTGTATGTATGTGTGGGTGGGCCGTGTACCAGCGAGCCGTGTACCAGGGGAGCCGTGTACCAGGGATAATGGACGAGAATTAAAACGGGTCCGGTTCAATTTACTGATGGGAGAACAGTTTAAGTCAATGTGACATGTGCAATATTTGGATCGGCGAATGTGGAGAGTAACAAAACAAGAGGCAATTTGGTCTCTCTCTGGTCTCTCTCTGGTCACTCGCTGTGATCTCTCTGGTCTCTCTCTTTGACCACTATCTCTTGTTCCTCTCTCTCTTTCTGGTCTCTCTTTGTGGCCTCTCTCTCTGTTCTCTCCCTCTGGCCTCTCTCTTGTCCCTCTCTCTCTAGTCTCGCTTTGGTCTCTCTCTGGTCTCTCTCTGGCCTCTCTCTTTGGTCTCTCTCTGGTCTCTCTTTGGCCTCTCTCTCTGGTCTCTCTCTCTGGTCTCTCTCTCTGGTCTCTCTTTGGCCTCTCTCTGGTCTCTCTCTCTGGTCTCTTTTTGGTGTCTCTCTTTGGTCTCTCTCTGGTCTCTCTCTGGTCTCTCTCTTTGGTCTCTCTCTGGTCTCTCTCTTTGGTCTCTCTCCCTCTGGCCTCTCTCTCATGTCTCTCTCTCTCTCTAGTCTGTCTATTTTTGGTCTCTCCCTCTGGTCTCTCTCTGGTCTCTCTTTGGCCTCTCTCTCTGGTCTCTCTTTGGCCTCTCTCTTTGGTCTCTCTCCCTCTGGCCTCTCTCTCATGTTTCTCTCTCTCTCTCTCTAGTCTCTTTTTGGTCTCTCTCTTTGGTCTCTCTCTTTGGCCTCTCTCTCTGGACTCTCTCTCTGGTCTCTTTTTGGTGTCTCTCTTTGGTCTCTCTCTGGTCTCTCTCTGGTCTCTCTCTTTGGTCTCTCTCTGGTCTCTCTCTTTGGTCTCTCTCCCTCTGGCCTCTCTCTCATGTCTCTCTCTCTAGTCTGTCTATTTTTGGTCTCTCCCTCTGGACTCTCTCTGGTCTCTCTTTGGCCTCTCTCTCTGGTCTCTCTTTGGCCTCTCTCTTTGGTCTCTCTCCCTCTGGCCTCTCTCTCATGTTTCTCTCTCTCTCTCTAGTCTCTTTTTGGTCTCTCTCTTTGGTCTCTCTCTTTGGCCTCTCTCTCTGGTCTCTCTCCCTCTGGCCTCTCTCTCATGTGTCTCTCTCTAGTCACTTTTTGGTCCCTCTCTTTGGTCTCTCTCTGGTCTCTGTGCAAGAAAAGTCTGCGATCCATAAAGTATTAAAGTAACCAATATTTCCAGCTACATTTGTCTGAATACATGATGTAGTAGATCTTTACAAGTGTCTGTGACCAGTATTTTCTTTCTTAACCATGGACAGAACCATGTGCAGCCTGCCCTCGCTCCAGGCCACAGGCTAAACTTTAACTCCACCATTTCTTACAAAGGAGTGGATTAGTTTTGCTTCACGGCTTCGGAGAAACCTAAAGTCGTTGGACAGACTGGAACAGAGCAGGAAAACTGCTGGTGTGAAAACTGCTGGTGTGAGTGGTGACAGTGATGGTCTGAAAAGGACCATATGAGTCACGGCTGTCGCTTCTGTCTGACGCAACGCTGCAGCAACTGAGAGACAAGAGCTAACGAGGCTAATGTGGGCTAATAGGGCAAAATAGGGCAAAAAGAGAGAGTGAGAGACCAGAGAGAGAGAGAGAGAACAGAGAGAGGACAGAGATTGAGACCAGAGAGTAACCAGAGAGAGAGAGAGATCAGAGAGAGAGGAAAAAGAGAGAACAGAGAGAGAGAGACCAGAGAGGAACCAGAGAGAGAGAGAGATCAGAGAGGGTAGAGAGAGAACGGAAAGGGACCAGAGAGAGAGACCAGAGAGAGATCATAAAGACACCAGAGAGAAACCAAAGAGAGACCAGAAGAAATAAGCAGAGAGAGACCAGAAAGAGAGATCAGAGAAATAACAGAGAGGGATCAGAGAAAGACAAGAGAGACCAAAGGGAGACCAAAGAAAGATCAGAGAGAGACCAGAGAGAAAGACCAGAAAGAGAGACCAGAGAGAAACCAGAAAGAAAGACCAGAGAGAGACCAGAGAGAAAGACCAGAGAGCATTCAGAAAGAGACCAAAAAGAGACCAGAGCGACACATCTCTCCAAGGTAAAAGAGTGGAGTACTAACACATCTACTTCCTGAAGTTTGAGTATCGTGTGTTTAGACTGTTCTGCATTTAGCTTATAACCTGTTCAATAATTAAATCCTCCAGCAGCGTGACGACATATAAACAGACAAACTCATGTAGTCACAGAGAAAAAGTTCACAGAAAGTTAAAAATACCTCTCTCCAACAGCTCACCAAGAGCTCACATGGCCTCGTCTGTACCACCGCTCCACGAAGACAGCGAGGCACGAAATCTAATTAGGACCAGAGTTAATTAAAAGAAACATATGCGGTCACAGGGAGGAGGCGGCCGGCGAGCTCCACACCTGTTAAATACCCATTCCCAGCTGCAGACACCGGGAATTATCTGCAACTATATGTGAGAGAATGCATGAAAGAAGAGAGCGATCGAAAACCCAATTCTTGGGTTTCATTAAACTGGCCTGTAGGGGGCGAATGAGCAGAGGTGGGACAACTCAGTTTTGCTCCCATTGAAAACCATGTAAAGTCTGTTTTGGAGTCAAAATGCTCTCCTCCAGTGCGGTGTACGCTTGTTGTAACAGTCTTTATCGGGGACACTCAATTCTAAGGGAGAACTAAAACATATTTCTCCAAAGAGTCTTGATTTCGGGCATTTTTGGAAAGAAAAACAGAAGAAATGGCTGCGTTTCATTGGGGTGGCCTGCAGGGGGCGCTTATCTGGGAAAGCCTTGATCCACCTCGCCCGCCTCATTCCGGTGATTTTTTCAAAGTGTCCTCCTTTATATGAGATCACAGTTGGAACATGAACAAACTCTTGTCTTTCTCTCTATT